TTAGATTTCGACGAGACGAAGAACTTTCCTGAAGAAAAAATTTTCAAAATCTGAACCTAAGATGTAGTAAAACACAGATTTCCAAAACTGCGCAATTTTTAACCAAAACAGTTTCGAAAAAAAAAATAGCAGCTATTGTTTTCAGCCAAACGAGGCCTTTAGATGATGAATTTCAACTTTCACCAAAAATGACAGTTTTAGATCTCGATAAGATGAAGAATTATTGTAAAGAACAAAATTTTGAAATTTGACTCTAAGATGCAGTAAAACGCAAATTTCAGAAACTACACGGTTTTAACAAAATAAAAATAACACAGTGTTGGTTTTTTTAACAAAAGTTATCAAAGAACCCGAGATGTGATTTCAGTAAAATACTATGGTATTAAACCTCATTTTAACAAAAATATTCGTAAGAAAAGTTTTCAAGAAAAATAATCCCTTTTAAAGAACTTAGTGGTATATCGAGCAAAGCACCCCGATGGGCACCTACGATAGGTCCTTAGAATTTTAAAGATTTAATGTGGGTCCAACGCCCGCATTAATTTAAGAGACTCCATTGGAGTATAAATTTCAGTGGTTTAAGAGTTAGAATGCCATGTATAAGTTCTAGGCCGAGTTGGGCCTTAATATCATAACAAGGGTAATTAAGGAAAATACAATTTTGAGGATTTGATAAATTGATCCTTATTAGTCTTTAGTAAAGGAGAGGAATACATGCCTTTAGGGAAGGGTTATATTTTCCTTCATAAGTTGCTAGAATAAAATAACAAACGACAGTTAATCTCACACTCTTAATGGGTGTTCATTTTCAGAAGAAAGCAAGTAAGAGACTAGGCTGTTTGGCGAAAAGTGAATTCCGGCCCTGTAAATCAGGTCAGTAGGAATCTTGCCTACAGTATAAATAGGTTTTAAAGTAAACTGTACACATGAACTATGTATGTTTGAGTACATTTAATGTTATGAATACTATACTATGTTATACTACATACACTTAAGCAGTACACCCAACTTATATGTGTTCGAGTACATGATATAATATGCTATGCTAGGTCATATTGCATACACCTTAATAAGTCAAGAGGAACTTATAAGAATAATCTCAGTTGAGTGCCGTATTAGCCTCCACAAGGGAGGTAACTCAAGCTCCACAAGGGAGAAAAGAAAAAAAAATAATGTCCTTCACAAGGGATGCATTCAGTTCAGTTATAATCACTGTGTCGTGGGAGACCTTGCAAACCCTCATGTCCCGATGATTGCGCGCAAGTGGTACGAGCACTCGGGCCTATCAATAAGAAAGATAAGATAAGATAATAAGACTATGATAAGCCATCATAATTAAGCATAATCAGCTCATGCATATTTATTCATGTGAACTTGCAGTTATTTTGTGAGAAGTAGTTCCTACTTGCTGAGCAAAAGCTCATTATAGAATGTTTATACTGTAGGTAAGCAACCGGCATATAATGCCTAATGGACTGACGGCGAGTGGACGAACAATGTGAAGATCGGGAAATGGATACCGCTCGCAAATATTTCCGCAATAAGTTTTATGTTATAAATAGTTTTACTTATTATTATTCTGAAACTATATGTTAAATGGTTTTGTAGATTATGGCTATTAGTAAGCAGGATTTAGAGAGTAGGTATATACATATAGATATATCTACATGTTTTGAGAATCATATATATATATATTAAGGTTTGAATGTTTCGATCAGGAAAGCAATTCATTGTATATGTTACTATAAGACTTTAAAAAAAAATGTTCCGCAAATTCTAAGAAAATTTCAGTAAGTACAAGTTAAAAAGTCAGCTACAGTAGCGGCCTCTACGAGGGTCGTCACAAATGAGAACTCACGCAATCACGTGACGAGAACCGATGAACCTTCGCCGGAGAAATCAACGCCTAAACCTCTTCGTCGGAGAAGAACGAACCAAAGAAACCTCCCCCTCTTCGCCGGAGAAATCAATCATGAAATAAACGAGGTCAATGGCGGATTCTGAGATAAAAGTAAAAACATTGTTGGCTTTTCTTATTTATTTGTTTTTTTTCTTGCGTATTTATTTTTTTTTCTTTTACCATTTTCTGTTATCTTAGAAGAAAAGAAAGGAAGAGATAAAAGCAGATAAGTCAGTTATTTGAAATTTTTAGGGGCTCTTTATTTGGTCTGTGACTCTGCCTGATGGCCGGTCATATCATTATGACCGCTTGGTAATTTTATTATGACCGGTCATAAGACAGGCACATCGTGCGGTCATAGTAATATGACCGACGGTCATAATTACTATGACCGCCCATTAGGCAGGCATGCGCATAGTGTGATTGTATGACTGCTGAGCCTGCGGTCATAGCATTATGACCCTCAGTCATAGTAATGTGACTACACAATTGTCAGGCTCATAGTGCGACTACCTTGCGGTCATAACATTATGACCCTCAGTCATAGTAAGGTGACCGCACAATTGTCAGGCTCATAGTGCGACTGCCTTGCAGTCATAGCATTATAACCTTAGGTCATAGTAATGTGACCGCACAATTGTCAAACTCTTAGTGTGCCAATCATAGTACTTTTTTTATAGGTGGCCATCAGTCATAACACTATGAGCGAGCATGCATGATGGGCGGTCATAGAATTATGACCGTCGATCATAGTACTATGACCGCTCAATGGTCAGACTCTTAGTGTCAGTCATAGTACTTTGGTTAACAACTTTGTTTGCTTTTCTTATTATTTATTTATTGTTATTTTTTACCATTTTTTGTCATCTTAGAAGAAAAAGAAAGGCTTTGGGGGAAGAGATGTCATTGATAGAATGTGACATCATAGTCAGACGATATCTTCACAGGAGCTTCCCCGTCTTCAACAACATATCTTAAGGATAAACTTTTTCCTTGTGGCCAAATCCCAAGCACATTTCTCACCAAATCTATAAGACCAATATAAGTTGTGTTGGTGGGGACCAATATCCCCTTCATTTTACAGCCGACGTATCTCGAAGCATGATCCCAATATCTATTGTACTTGATGAAGACGTTCAATACATCAGTCATTTCTAAATAATTTCAAAAACAATAACTGTTAATCAACATGCAATTACTCCTAGTCGTCATCGAGTCATTAAAAATGGCTAGTCATAACACTATGTAATGGCCGGTCATAAGCCAGTCATAGTGTGCCAGTCATAACACTATGGGTCATTTGAGTCATAATATTATGGCCGGACGGTCATATCACTATGACTACCTTACGGTCATAATACTATGACCGGCCATTTTGACTCATATTGTTATAATTTGACTCATAGACAATGACTCATACTGTTATGACTGACTGGTCATAGTATTATGACCGGACATATAACACTATGAGTCATAATACTATGACTCCCAAGGTCAATTATGTCTTTGACGTGTTGGTCGTTACAATAAGTTTTCATATCTGTTATAAACCATCCAAAATCTCAAATTGACGAAAGATATTTTCAATTCCTATCACATTAAGTTCAACCCAGTCATTTTTTTCAAGTTCTATATACTAAGTCTCCCGAAAATGTTGGTGGGGACCAATATCCCCTTCATTTTACAGCCGACGTATCTCGAAGCATGATCCCAATATCTATTGTACTTGATGAAGACGTTCAATACATCAGTCATTTCTAAATAATTTCAAAAACAATAACTGTTAATCAACATGCAATTACTCCTAGTCGTCATCGAGTCATTAAAAATGGCTAGTCATAACACTATGTAATGGCCGGTCATAAGCCAGTCATAGTGTGCCAGTCATAACACTATGGGTCATTTGAGTCATAATATTATGGCCGGACGGTCATATCACTATGACTACCTTACGGTCATAATACTATGACCGGCCATTTTGACTCATATTGTTATAATTTGACTCATAGACAATGACTCATACTGTTATGACTGACTGGTCATAGTATTATGACCGGACATATAACACTATGAGTCATAATACTATGACTCCCAAGGTCAATTATGTCTTTGACGTGTTGGTCGTTACAATAAGTTTTCATATCTGTTATAAACCATCCAAAATCTCAAATTGACGAAAGATATTTTCAATTCCTATCACATTAAGTTCAACCCAGTCATTTTTTTCAAGTTCTATATACTAAGTCTCCCGAAAAATAAATTTAAAAAGACAAAAATAAAAGAAAAACAAAAAAAAATTGTGTACCAATCTCGATCTGTGCAAAATCGGAGTATTGGCGACGAGAGAATGAGGGCGTAGGGAAGAGTGAGACCAAGTAGAGAGAGAGGCCAAACTTGAGAGAGAGAGAGAGAGAGAGCTGAAAATAAGGTGTAGAGAGAGAGAGAGAATGAGCGGGAGAGATGTGAGAGTTTCTTTGAGGTACTTTTAAATGATAATTTTGACTTAAGTGGTATAGAAGTCATTTTACCTCACACTACTGACATGACAATACTAGTTGTGAAAGTATATAAAAGTAGTGCTAAAATTAATAGTCATTTATTTAGAAGTGCTATTATTGATATTAACCATTTTTTATTATTAAAACTCTGAAATCATGATTTATAATTGTAATGTAGCTTTTGAAATTAATATTAATGTATGGACTTTTCCTGGTAGGACAATCTATCGGTTCTGACCTTTAAATATGATTAAATCACATTAAATTTTAAAAGTATATAGAACAATCAGTTTCTAATACAATGAAGACTTTCATCGAATAACTTTCAATAAAAAGCCTATAATAGTTTGCCAAACCCAAGAAAAAAATCTCAATTCAGTGACGTTGAGCGGCCTGCGCCCATCCAAAAAGGGGATCCCTAGGCCAACTCCAGAGGAAAACTACTTAAGAAGAAAGAAGCCATGTGAAATGAATGAGGCTTTAAAAATTCAAATTGATTATATTTTTATAAGTACTTACCCCGTTACTAAGATGGGTATATCCGGGTTTTTGGGACCAAAAACTTCCATTAATGTAAACTGAAAATTAAATATGAGAATATTCGGTGCTTTGATCACTAAAGATCGTAACAATCTAATCAGAAGGATGTGAGTGGTTGATCCACACCAACACTCGGTACTCCCGTGCAACACAATTTCCCAAATCCCTTACCTCTTAAACCCTCGCAAAAGCCCTCGCCTCACTCTTCCAATTTCGCAGCAACATCAGTGAACTGAGATTTCATTTCGAGAACAACAAACCAAACAACCATGGCTTGGCGCTCCGCCGGATCTCTGTCGCGCTCGCTAATGTCAACCGCTAGGGTTTCGTCTCTGCGCTCGGCTCCTTCCCTCCCCCGCCTCCGCCCCCCGAATCTCGCCGCTCCTCCTCGCCTCCCTTCTCGTCGTCTCTCCTTCGCCTCTACCAGGTCCTCCCCTTTCTTCTTCCTTTGTCGCGGCCTCCAGAATATTTCGATTCTTGATTTGGTTTCTAGAAATTTTAGGAAAGTACCGCCAAAGTTTTCATCTATTGAGGTTTCGGTTATGAAATCATGCTTGTTCATTGGAATTTTGCCCGTTTGTTGTGCTTGTGGATAGGAATTTTTTCTCTGTAACTTGAGGGTTTCAATTCGGGATTTGAACTCGAACGTGTGCATTTTTTGTTGGGAATTATATTTTTAGGGCCGTTGTTGATTTCTTAGCAATTACCAGACAGTACTTGGATTAGTTGTTGTACTTGTTTACATATAACTCTGTGCTTCCCGAAATGGACTTACTTGGTTTGTTTAGTCGTTCTTTGTGGATGATCTTCTCAGAAGGAAAAAAAAAAAGCGGAAGAAGGGAATTTTGGCTTTGATTATAAAGATGGAGAGAGATCAGGTGAAGTTGGGCCAATAAAGGGTTTTTAGAATAGTTTTGTTTTGAGCATGGAGATGGAAATTGAATCTTTTGGGGAATGGTTTCGGAACTGATTTCAAAATTGTGTTTGATTAGTTTTTCTAGAGAGATGGCTTTGAATATAAGAAAAAGGTTAAACTGTTTGTTTGTGTTTCAGAATTAGTAAAGTTTATAAAATCCAATAAAGCAATGCTGATATGTTTCAAAATGAAAACAGAAAACGACTAGCGTTTTTAGGTGTGTTCATTTGCACAACTCAAGTCATGACTTGGGTTGTGTATGTGAGAGAAAAACACTGTAGTAAAAAATTTAAATTTGAATTTATGTGAGAGAAAACACTGTAGTGATATGACTTGAGTCGTGAAATGAACAAGGTCTTTATTTTTCTTAAAAGAGAAATGAGACCGGTTCCAACCCGTATCAGCCAACTAAACATTATCTAGTAACATTTTTCAAATCAGTTACCTAAAAAACGTGGGGAAAGAAAACAGTTTGTAAACGAGCCCTAAATTTTTTGTTTCTCCATATGGTGAGCATTCAAGAGGAAGGTAGGTCAATAAGTGAAGGCACTGGTATTTAATAAAAAAATAATTTATGTGTTTTTTTCCGTTACTTTATTCAGGTAATAATTTTTATAAAGTGAATATCTATCCCTGTTTTCTTCTTTCCTAATGTACTTTAACACAATTGATAATATTTAGATAAAGCTTTGTTTAGCATGGTTTTTCTGTTGTGTTATTGACTTATTGTAAGTTAGCTGCTCTTTTTCTTTTTTTTCTTTTTTTTTTTTTTTTTTGAATAGAAACGAACTTATTGTAAGTTAGTTTACATTGTATAGTGATTAAACAAATGGGTACTTTCGTTTTATTTACTAGTTTTGTGATGTACTTGTAGGAACTTGGGAGAATTGGGGTGCGCACAGTCACTTCTGCCAATGCACAGTGTCATGGCTTCAACATCTCACCTGGCTGTCAACTTGCGGGCTTTTTGCGAGCTGTCTCATGGTACCTTCCGCCGTTCTTGTCAAGATCGCTAGTAGTCTCTTTGTGAGTCTTGCTGTCTAGGAAACATGACAAAATGAAAATTAATCGATTATCTTTTTTTTTTTTTTTTTTTTTTTTCCATTTTCTTATCCTTCAAATGATGCCCTGGGTACTTGTAACCTTAAATTAATAAGAAGAGATAGATTAGGCAATAAGGTATTTGGGCTTGTTAGCATATTAAGTTTGGTTGATAAGAAGAGATTGGAATTGGGATTGATAGGGATGAGTGGAAGAGACGGGTGATGCACGGCAACATTCAATCATCCAAAGGAAGGACGGTGGTGCTGCATTGTAGGTTCTCTTTTTCATTTCTTTCATCAAACCTTAAATTAATAAGAATTACAACTGTATGCGAGCATGTACATACAAATTGTAAAAATCCCTTAAATTGAAATTCCTCTTTGGTAAACTAGTTTCTTTCTTAGCTAGATTTGATTTGTTTAGTATTTCTAAGTTCGTTATTGTGGTAATACTTGCCATAGGACTCTCCGGTTAATTCCTAGTCATTACTGTGGTTTTTCTTATATTCTCCTTTGACAGTAGCAGCTAATAGTTGTTCTTGCCATTTAAGTCTACATGTTAATCACAAATGTTGCACTGACATGTGCTACAAGTGTTCTCTATGTTATTTGTTGCATAATCTGGAATGAAGTGATTTTTTCCCATTGGACAACCTAATTTTCTTTATTTATTCATTTTGCTAGTATTTGATATCCATAGTAAAAGAAAACCTTCATTTTTCTCTTCGTTGGGCATTTAATTTGGCATCCTAAATCCCAACATTCTTTGAATAGAAGGAAACAATGCGTGTAGGATATTTTATATTAAAGATAGAGGGAACACATTGGTTTATACATTTGGATGTCCGGTGATTCCCGGGTACTTGGCAAATTTTATTCAAAATTCTTAGAGTTTATGCACATGCTGCTGTGTCACTGCAGGTACTTGAGAAGATCGTGGGAGTAGCATTATCAAGTGCAACTAAATGTTTTTGTGGGGGCAGTGATGGAGATTGGATATATCCTTTAGGATATTGAGTTTTTCGATTAGGAATTGTAATAAGAGAGTATTTCGTTGTTTATACTATTTCCAAGAAGAAAACGTGGGAGTTACTTGAATTTCTGGAAGACCTTTAGAATGTAGCTTTAGCCTTTTGCAGGTCTCTTGATTGCAACAGTTGTTTTTGGTCTGCTCTTTTGTTGGACTGGTTTATTTGATATTTATTACTCTGCTATTGATGACTAATCTAAATTAGTTCATTTATAATATCTGTGTTCCACAATATGTCAGCACTAATATTTTCTGCGGTATTGTAAGAGCTGTTAGGCTGGTTTTAGTTTATTTTAGTACATGTATAGTGTAGAGAAGTGGTTGATACTTGATACTAAGGTGTTTGAGATGATGAGTCTTCCTAACCTAAAATTCCATTTCAACAAGCACTTTTCAGTAAACCAATTATGCCGACTCCAACTTCAGCTTGAAGCTGTAACGAGATTCTACCCATGTTGCAGCAATGCAACGCCCATTAATGAGCTTTTCTTTCTAGTGACGGGTGAAGAGTTGCGTGTGCACGTATCTGCGCATCAATTCTGCATGTCTTTGGGTGTGTTTGGAATTGGTTTCAAAATAATTTTGTTTTCTGTATGAAAATAGAAATGAAAACGTTTTCATTTTCGTTTTGAAAATATTTTTGAAAATGTGTTTGGTAGTTTTATTTAGAGATTGATTTCAGTTTTAAAAAATACTGAAACTGCGTTTGGTGGTTTAATTTTTGAAAACATATAATAATATTTAAAATAATAATATATTAAATATATAATATTATTAAATATATTAAATAAATATATTATTTATATA